GCTTCATTAATTTCTTCCAATGATGGTAGTTGGCTCCATTAAAGTATGGAGGTTTGTTGATCGGTTGGGAGTCTTCCATGTGGAACGAGCCGGAGATGGAAGCCATCTTCTCGGTTGCTTCAAAAATGAATAGAGATTCTTCAATGATCGTCTCAAGGTTGTTAGGCCTTCTAATGAGTCAAGATCTGATACCAATTGTTGGGATATTTCAGTGAAGTTCAATTGATAATCGAATGATTTACCAAAAGGGGTTGAAGTGGATTTGAGAAATTTAGGGATTAAGGAGATTTATGAGATAAGAAAATTGATGCACAAAGATTTATAGTGGTTCGACCTCTCAACCAAGTCTACATTCACTACCTTAGTTCCTTACTAGGAATTTTCTAACAAATTCACTAATTTGTTCTTTCTTTTTCACATGATAAAGAGATAACTTTTACAAATCCCTATCTTTTTCAATGGCTAAGATAGAACCACTCCCTTTTGCAAAAGGATTAAAAAGTGTAAACAATAAAACCTCACAAGGTAGATGTTTACATATTAAGCTCACTAAAACACTAATATTTACAAGATAAAGGGAAAATAGAAGTGAAAAACTCTTCTTTTGTGTGAATGCTTGAATAGGTGTTCTAACCCTTCTTCAAGTGTCTTCAACTTGTTTTTATAAGTTGGAATATGTTTGTGGTCGATTCTAGCTGTTGGGATGATTTTGAGTCGTTTGGGGATAATTTTTCTGCAAAATAAAATTGCCCAGGACAGGGAGTATCGATACTCCTTTAATGAGTATCGGTACTTCCTTTATATTTTTTAAATCAACTAGCTGTTACTAGCCGTTGGGCTTGACCTATATCGATAATATGCTCATGGTATCGATACTACTATGTAAAGTAGTATTGATATTCCTTTGAGTATCGATACATATTTTGCATTCTGGAATTTGAGTCATTTTGAAAAACACTTTGTAATATCAATACTACCTAGATAGTATCGATACTTCTCTTACCTTGGGTATCAGTACCACATAAACAGTGTCGGTACTATTTATATAGTATCGATACTATAAGAACAGTATTCGTACTACATACCCTGAAATTTAGTTTTGTGCTCAAATTATATTTTAATGTACTTTGAATTATTTTTGAAAACTTTGAACAATTTCAATTCAAGTCCAAAAACATTTGCCTTAATTTGTTATATCAAAATATTATAAAACATGGTTAAACAATTCCCTAAAAAAATAGAGATCTTCACATGGCGTTCATTGACCTTGAGAAGGCGTATGATAGCGTACCCCACGATACGATCTGAAAGACCTTGGAAACGAGACAGATCCCAACTGCTTATATACGGGCGATTCGTGATATGTACTGTAGAACTACTACTACGTCAGGACTACAGTTGGCGACACCGAGGCATTCCTGGTGGAAATCGGACTCCACCAGGGGTCGGCTCTTAGCCCTTACATCTTCGCCTTGATTATGCACGACATCTATTGTGTGACACCAGACGGTATTCTATGGTGTATGTTTTTCACTGATGACATTGTCCTAGTTGCTGAAACAAAAAATGAGTTGAATAGTAGACTGGCTATCTGGAAGACTGTTTTGGAAGAAAAAGGTCTAAGGATCAATATTGAAAATACAAAGTATTTATGTTCAAACTTCAGTGGGAATCAAAATGATGAAGATGTAGAAGTATGCATCGAATGACACGTTCTCCCCTCAAAGGATTGTTTCAAGTACCTAGGGTCTATGATACATAAAGATGGGGGTGTAGATGATGACGTTACACACCGTATAAAGGCGGGATGGCTAAAGTGGAGGGTTGCTACTGGAGTTTTGTGTGACAAGAAGGTTCCTCTAAAACTAAAGGGAAAATTTTATAGAATGTCAATTAGACCAGCACTGCTGTATGGATCAGAATGTTGGGCAATCAAGAAAGATCACGTAAGGAGGATGGAGGCCGCAGAAATGAGAATGCTTCGATGAACATGTGGTAGGACTTTGTGGGACATGACACCAAAGTCTGCAATTATGATGTCCTTGGGGGTGGTGCCTGTATCCGAAAAGTTGAGGGAGGGAAGACTACGGTGGTTTGGGCATGTTCTTAGGCGACAACCCTCAGATGCGATCAGGAGGATAGAGTCGATTACAGTCAACGGTGCCAGAAGGAGAGGTCGACCAAGGAGGAAGTGGGTAGACTGCTTGAGATCTGATTTGAAGGATTTAGCCCTTACCGAGGACATGACCTCTGACAGGAAAGTATGGAGACTTAAGACCCGGGTAGCCGAGTAGTGTGGGTCACAGAAATAGGGTGTAGCATCTATGTCTTCTTTTTTAATGTCTTTGTAGTAATTTACATGACTTCTACTTTTTATACGTTTCTGTCATTGGAATTTATGAAGGCTTAGAACTAGGGTAACGGAGTAGTGTAACCTTAGTTTAGGTTTTAACCCATTTGACTTTATTCCTTCTCGTAACTTGCTATCGTTGACTGCTGTGTATCCTTCTCTTTTATGTTTCCTCTTTTTAAATTTAGCCTGGACTTACGTTTATGTCTATATGTAGAGATTTTTACGCAAGGATTTATTTGCAGGGATTACTTCCCATTATAGAATCGCATATGTAGACTGCATATGAAGAATGTTCAACTATGTATTTATTTATTTATTTATACATGCATTGTATTTTATATATATTTTTTAATTTTCTGACTGCCGGAGGTCTTCCACGGAAGCTACTCTCAACCTGGCGTTGGGGGCAGCCTACTACCCTACCTCCCCCTTACCCCAATTGCATATGGGAATAAGGTTTTGTTGTTGTTGTTGTTGTATGGTTAAACAATTCCCTACCATCTTATTGGTTTTCGTTTGTTTTAATCAAATTTAAATATGACAACATGCACAATAAAAAAAATTATAATTTATAATTTATTTAATTCAATTAATATTGTTATAAATAAAAACATTAAAAAATATTGGCAAAATGGTAACTTTTGCATCTGTAGTATACTCAATTTATCATTTTTGCTCATATGATATTTTCTATGATTAAGAGGGAATGTGATTATGATCTAGGGTTTACAATTTAGGTTTTAAATTAGAGAATAGGTATAAAATCATACAAATTAATAACTTTAAAGACTAAATTTACTACCGAGTCAAAAATCACCCTTTTAAACCAAAAATATTTGTCAAACGAGTGGATGCCTTTTTGAGGCAATTACCTTACGGGAGATGGAATCGTCGAGTGAGATCCAATGGTTTAAAAGCGATACCCTAGGATCAATCTGCACCGTCTATGGAATATATAACAACGTGGCGACCATCGGAAGTAATACGACCAACCCCATCTGAGAGCGGGACCCATTCTAATCCGTGCTGAGGCAAAGAAAATGTCAAAATCTTCTAATAGTCCATATATTATACATAAATTTTGGATTATGTCCCTATACTCCAATTTGGCCCTATTTTACATATTTTGATATTTCGATTATAATCTAAAAAGTATCCATTAAATATGATAATTCAAATTTTTTTATTATTAGTAAGTTATATATTTCAATTCATAATTTTAACTTAACCACTTTAAGGTTTTATAATTTAATTATTTTGTCATTCCTATAATGATTGAAATGTGTATATATAATAGAAAGATTGATTATAAATTTTGATAAAAAAAAACTAACAAAATCGAAAAGACAAGGATCCAATCCCATAATAACTGAAAATTCAAGAGTAACAACTAACAATAGAAAGTTCACAATATTTAACCGACAGTGACGCTATAAAAAGAAGGTTTACTAAGGTAATTAAATTTTTTATCTAAAACTTTTAAATTTTTTTTCATTTTAGCCACAATGTTCGGTTTTGAAATTTGCCTAATCATCGACATCCAACAACAGTGCCCCACGTGTTGGTATATACAAGTATGTTACATCTTGATTGGCTAAAATGCTACATTTGTTTTTCTTTTAACGGGTTTAGTTTTTGGATAAATTGGAAATATGAGAGTTTAATGGAGTATTACTTTGAAGGTTTAACAAAAAAAAGTACTCAAATGAGAATCAGGTATAGCTTTAGGGTCAAATGTAAATAAAACCAAAGAAGGAAAAAATATAATTGCAAGTAGCTAAAAAGGCAAACCGAAAAACCCTTTTCTCTAATCAATTTCCTTGTCGTTTTTTGTTTAATATGGTTTGGTAATAAACCTGATTGTTTAAATGTGTAAGGTTCAACAAATAACTGGTACTACAAACAATACGCAACGGCGTGCTGGGATATGTGGATGATTATTGCTCCAATAATTCTATTGGAAAATAGGGTAAATTATATTGATGAATTTAATATTTATATTAAATTTAGGGTCTTTTGTAAAATAAATAATATTTAAAGAGTCTATATTTGTTTAATAGTTTAAATTTAAAAGATATTATTATCTGTTTAAATTTATATATTAAAAGATATTTACTTAGAATAAATCTCAAGAAGTTTTTTTTATCTTGAAGATATTTTCTCTCATTCTTAGAATATATTTTTTTCTCTCTTAGTTTTCTGGTGATAGTCGAAGGTAAGGAAATTTTGTGATTTCTATTATTGTGCTACTATAGTTGATCATCAAGTTGTTGTATCCTGTGAGACAGACGACCAAAAGATCTCGAACACAATATCAAATATAAAGAATATTTTATTTCCTTTTGATTCTCTTTTATTAATAAGGAATTTGATTCTTTCTTTTATTTTTTTTCTCAGGTTTCATTATTGTTTCAAATTGTTACTCTCGGATAACAAATTCTTCTACAGAAAAATCCATTTCTAAAAGTTCATGTTGTTCAGATCCCAAACAACAACAGGAACTTCAATTATTACCCTAATAATTTAGGAATAGTTAAATTGAGCTTGCTGACAGTATTTATTCAAAGAAACACTCTGTAGTGTCATTGTTTTTGCCTTGAGTCATTGAGATAATAAATTTTCAAATGATAGGTTTAAATCAACGAGTATGTTGGCCTTGGCTCCTGTACCCAACTTAGATTGTGATTTTTATCCAGAATACAATATCAAGCTGTCAAAAAGATTTTCCTTCAAATGGAAGCCCCTGCTGGAGCATCATGGTATGCCTTTTTGTGATGTTTTCATTCCCTTCTGTTGTGTTAATTTGTGATTCTTATAGTCTGAACATTCTGCTAGGGGAACTCGTGCTTTAAACCTGTCCTCGTGTAGTGGTTTTGTCCAAATGCCACAGAAGATTTTGCTGAAAGCAGGGATCTCTATCTGAATATGGTTGGAAGCTCTAATGGGATACCTCCAGGTAACTTTGATGAATACAACAGTTTTTCAGGCAGCCCTTCAATTTTATCTTCTAATAAGCTTTCTGGAGAGTTCCCGCGAAATTACTCTGCCCCTATCATAGGTCAATGCTGGTAGAAACTTCAAGTTTTACTTTTGCTGTCAGAACGTTATGTGTTATCTGTTTTCTTGAAATTTTAGTAATGCCAAGCATGCACATAATGTGATATTTACCATCATTAAAGAATAAATTAGTTTTTTTTCTTGTCGTTTTGTTTTTGGAATTTGTCAAAAAGAAATTATTGATATAGAACATACTTATCCTTATTTTCAATGTTACATGGCAGTTTCAAGAGCTCAAGTGTCAGCACCACCTGTGGTCCGTAAATGAATTGAAGAACTGTTCATGAATCGTGCGACGAGAAGTTTTTTTATGTTCGTTTATTTATTAAATGAACGAATATGAACAAGATTTTACGTCCGTTTAATTAAATAAACGAACATGAACAAATGGCTCGTTCATTCATTTACGTTTGTGAACGTTCGATTATATGTTCGTTCATTTATGTTCGAACAGGGGGCAAGTTGAATATGTTATGAAGATTATTGAAGTTGTTTGGATTTCAAGAAATTTTTTGTTATTGAACAAATTAACTCTAAGACTTTATTATGTTCATATAGCTTATTTATGATTTATGTATGTTTTTGTCGTATTCGAACAAATTAACTCTGAAGTTGCAGGTTATATTAATGAATTTTAAGTTGTTATTTTTGTTGTTTACTTTTTTTTACATTCATTTGTTGTGTTCGAATAAGTTTATTTTTTGTGTTTGTGTTATTCGTTTATGTTCATTTATTATGTTCGTTTGTTTGTGTTCGTTTATCATTTAAATGAACGAACATGAACAAACTATATTCCTTAATAAACGAACATGAACAAAAAAATTTGTTCGTTTATGTTCGTGTCCGTTTATGTTCGTTTATTTATTAAATGAACGAAGATGAACATATCTCCATTCGTGTGTATTCATTCGTTTACATGCCTAACAACCTGGATTTTCTGTTCCCAGGAAGGCACCCCCTCCTGGATTTTCCTCTAATGGGAGAGTAGACCACAGTTTTAACACGAGGTAGGTTCACTTTTATTATTTGACTTGGATCGTTTGGTGTTTCATTGCCAGCAAATTGATGCCAACTTTGTTTTCCTTTTCCTTGTAGGATACTTGGACTCTTCGTCCCTGTTAAGAAACTGTTATCAGGCTCCAGGCCCAGCAAGTGGTAGTGTTGGAGATATAGACTTTAGGGAGGGCTCAACAATTCAAACTTAGATATGCAATCAAATTTTCCTCTACAATTGGGTCTCTAGGAAAATGAAGCCAGAGTTCAATTACTGGGGCAGAGATCTCTTTCTCCTCATCTGAACCTAAGATATGATGTCGGGGATGGCTTTTCTTCTCTTAATGACTCCTACGGAGTTTCTTCTAGGGTAATGGATCAATCACAAGTGAATAACATATCCCCATATGCACAGTTGTCTCTCCAACAGTGGAGGAATTCACATATGTCAAATGGTCCTTGGGATGGTTGTAATGAAATCCAGGGTGGGAACAATGTTGGCATGGCTGAGTTGCTCAGAAACGAGAGATTGGGACTTAACAAGTTCTATTCTGGTTATGAAGATTCGAAGTACAAGATGGGTGATCTATACGACAGAACATTCTGGATGTGATTGCTTTTGAAATCGACTCTGCGCTTAATTGACAATTCTAAGCTGACAGAATGACTTTATGGTGTCTGTTGACTTGGTCTCCTTTGGCAGCCTCATGAAGTATCAAACTTGAAACAACTCAAGCAGGTAACATTGAACTATTTCAAGTTCATTATTACTCTCTAGTTGTAGTGCTTCAAAAGGTAATATCTTGTGTTAATATTATATAGATTGGGGTTTCGGAAGATAAAAATGCACATGTGAAATGAGCTCTTCTGCCATGGCTAGTTCTGTTATAATTTCGTTGCACCGCATGAGTGCTAGCCGTATACAGTCGGTCCTCTCCCGTTGCAGATAGGATAGAGAAATAGATAGTTATTTGTGCTAATAAACTTATATTGTTATTTTTTCAAAAAGAAAATTATAAATTTTAAGATCTGAAATTACTCGATATACTAATTTAATTCAACTAAACCTTTATGGGATTTTTGGCAATTTATTAAGATTCGTCTATTTGCACTGTATATCTTTTGTCATGTTTTCTTGGTTTATATATGAAGTTGATTCACTCGTAGCTTCCATCTCTCGTCATCCCCATCTCCTTTTCTCTTGAAAATATTATTTTTGAATCAATAACGCTTTGTTCGTTTTTATTTAATTTTAAGCAAAAGCATACCTCTAATCCACCATAGCAGCAACAGAAATTTCCACCCAGAAGAGGCCAAATCAAGGTCGATAAAGAAGAAGAAGAAGAAGAAGAAGAAGAAGAAGAAGAAGAAGAAGAAGAAGAGAGAAGAGAACCAAAGACTACAACTCTGATGGCAAATCGATGTTAAAAAGTTGGGAAATCAATTAATCAAACATCCCAAGAACAGGGTTTAGCATGTAAGCAAAAAGATCCTCTAGACAAGTATGTAAACACGACACCTTCCCCCATAAAGGTCATAGCACTCTACGCTATTACAAAAACAGAGCAATGTTAAAAGCCCATCAGAGTATAGCAGACAAATATTGAACCCAAGCAACTCTCATGAACCATGAGCGGGCAATCACGACAATTGCAGATCATTTTGTTTACATATTACGCATACTAGCTTCCGCCGCAGGATCTCAACTCAAGAGACGACTCTTTATCGCCACAATATTCAGCCTTCCACTTCCATTTTCACATATTTGTTCTACTATGACTCTTTGGCAGTTCACCACTAAGACCATTTCGATCACCACCGTCCTCCAAACTCAATGTACACATATTCTCATCGCCCCGTCCTCCGAGATCAAATCTGTCATCTGTTAATATCCATCTTAAAAGCCCGTGTTCAGTTGTACCTGATAAAGAAAGATAATTATAACTTAGAATGTACCTCCTGCAGTATTTGGTCGAGAACATCCCAACAGCTTAACGAAAGGTCAAACTCAACTCTTAAGACCGTTTTCAGGTACAGATTGAAATATTTCCTCTAAACATCTTATGCAAACATTCCAATTGTATTTTCCCCTAAATTTTCTGTTGCTTTAGCAACAATTTCAATCAAGCCTGAAAGAAAACTGTACACTCTCCATTTTCAGTGAAGTACCCGAATCCGACACTCATGTACAACACAAGGATCCTTCAAATACATGAAGAAAAAACCAGAGAAAATATGTATAACTTGTGTCTGATAGACACACAAGTCCCAGTAACAGGTGGAGAAAGAGTCGACAAACATGGAGAGATTTTTATTTTTCCATACCATTTAGAGTTGAAACATCTATTTCGGGAAAGCTTGATAAGTATTCCAAAATCCAAAGCCATAGTTGGCGTCCATCAAAAGGAATGCCAGACATTGGTCTTGGTTTATAAGAGTTCAACACAGTGAGCAGCACTTGATCCACCTATTATTAAGAGAACAAATTTTATCAGTTTGAAAGCTTAAAAAAAACCCGAAAATATACATATGAAAAGGTATGTAAACTTGATTTTATATCATTGATGCTATGACATCACTATTTAAACAATAAGAAACGACCATAACCATGCATATAAAAAGCTACGTGCTCCATTCTTTAAAGTTTTCCTTCCTTGAAATTATTCTCAATTCATAGTTTTTCCTAATTGGTCAAGAAACAAATAGGATTTATGCAAGCGAAATACAACCAGAAGCAAAAAGGACTAGTTTAAACAGCTCTTCATCTTCATATAAGAATCTGAAGAAATTAGAATTATGGTCCAAATCAATCTTGGAGTGTTCCAACATATACTATATATATATACAAAAAATTTCAAAATTGTATCATCTAATCTGGTCCTATTATGTTCTACAGGAAACTCATGCCTAACCTTAGTGCACTGACAAGTTCAACTTCTCCACTAATTCCAAAAGTATTACGTCTGTACAGTCCAGGTACAGGGAAAAGACTGTTCTTCTTGTACATAAGAACTGCTAACTCAGCATGCAGAATCATGTTAAGAAATGAAATTGTTGAAACAAAGTTTGAAGAAAATCATGTTAAGCATTGAAATTGTTTGAAACAAAATTTGAAGAAAATCATGTTAAGCGATGTGTTTGTTCATACATGAGCAGCTAAAGAGTGAAGGGAAAGAGTACATAGTAAAACATGTGTAAGTTAAATGGTTGAAAATGTTGGAAAATTATTGAATGAATTGATGCTATTTATAGCTAATTAATAATAAGTCATGTCACTTAATGAATGGACTTAATTTTTGGTTTAAAATTACATCCATTCAATCATACTTATTTAATAATTCTCTTCATGAAAAGATTAAATCCTTTTATGAAGAGGTTAAGCCCTTTCATCAAAAGGAGAAGTCTTTTAATCAAAAGGTTAAGTCCTTTCATCGAAAGGTCTTAACCTTTCAATCAATTTCCTCTCCCTATATATAGGTTACTTGAGGCACAATTCTAAGACAAAACACAACTCAAGTTACAAAGACAACTTTGAGACACAATTCACAAAGTTGAATTATGATAACACTTAGAAAGTTCCTTTCAAATTTGTTATTTCCGGTGATAGAAAAATGCAAGATTATGTTCGACTGATCACTATGGTTGTGCTTACTATTGTGATCGTTTGTTGTTGTATCTTGGGAGACCGACGTCCAATGTTACCCAAAGCACCGAGGAGATGACGAATCTGTCTTTAAGGAAATTATTCATACAGGCCTCAACAAAAATCCTTATTCGATTTATCTTAATTTGTTCATCATATTCAGTGCTACATACGAGTAAACAAATCACGTTTTTCTATTTTAATTCTTTATTTATTTTGTTTTGTTTGATTATATAATAATTTTTATTATTATTATTTTATCTCGGATTAACCATTTTGTCTAACAATCTTAAGACATATTCTTTTCTCTTTTTTAATTCGAGACGAAGTCAGTATATTTCTAATTAAAATCATACGAACAATGGAGGGTGAATTTTACAACTCATTCTGAATTGTTGTATACGAGCCTTATAAATGGAACCAATTTTGGAGAACTAAGGGAAGTACGGCTTCTACTGAAATGCTTTCCCTCCCTCAAAAGTGCAGGTCAATGAAGCACTTGTGTACGTCATGTACAATACAAAGTGATGGCAGTAACCTTTTGAAGCGTCACATGCCTTTACAAAAGGAAATGAAAGATCTTTCCTTGTAACAAGGTAATTTGGTCAATAAAATTTGCATATGGGAAGCAGGCATACGTTGGTAAATTCGAATATTCCCAAAAGGTGAGTTAAATGTGCAAGTTTGAAAAATATGTAATTTTTATGGGTTTACTAATTGTGCTAGAAATTGAAGTGAGATATTCGATTATTATTACTTTACTTTGCTCACTTGCACATATTTGAACTTTGGGTTCATCAGTTATGTTTCGAGAATTAATTTATTAAATTCTCATCGTTTAATAGATTGGTTATGTTTTGGGTTTTATTCTCGTTGTCCAACAGAAGTTGGTTTTGTTTCGGATTTTAGTTTTAAATCTTGACATTTAACGGATTCAACAAAATAATGTTGATTGTACATTTCTATTTCGGGTTTTAGTTTTACTAAATTCCTGTCGTTTAACAGAAATTACTCAATTGTTGGATTTTAGTTTTTACTAAAATTAATTACGATAAATAAGGTACGGAACGAAATTGTGATATGCCTGTGAACAAAAATTGGGCCTATAATTCTGTTTCAGGATTTTAATATTGTTTTTCAACAAAATTTATTTGATTTACTGTTGATAACAGAAATCGTTTGGAGGTAACAACATTGTTACAAATTTTGTTTTAGAATTTTAATTTATAATTAAATTTTGTTGTTCAACAGAAAAAAATGGTAAAACAAATAGAATTAACTTTCAATTTATTGTTGAAATATTTACAGATTTTGGTTACATGTTTTTAAACAAAACAATGGTAACCCCACTGATTCACTTAATTCGTGATTTAAAATGTTGATTCCTATTCAAACTTTGAATAAAATTCAACGATGTCAGTGGTTGTGAGCCACAACGAGAAGCATGTGAAATTCATGGATAGAATTTCAAGACATAGCGACATAAGATGCTATATTTAATCATGCTGAATATGGTCAAATATAGGATGATCCTCCTATTCATAGAGAGAATGAGATAGACATTGTTGCCATTAAAGCTTAAAAGCATTCTAAGTTTCAATGTCAAAATTACATCTCAAATATATTGTCAGATACACCATATAAAGTAGTATGCATAAGATTGTTAAAGAATTATAAATGACATTTGGACATGTTCTGAGTACTCAGCAAATTATCTTTAAATAAGGTAACTTACAAGAAAATAGGTGAGACACCATATGAGTTATGAAAATGTATAAAATTTTCCTACAAATTTATCAAAGTCTGAGGGTGCCTTGTATAAGTATAATTGTAAGTCGAGACACATACGTCATCGAAATAATATCATTAAACAATTGACCTCAACTATAGTTATCTATATTGATTTTGTTAGATAAAAAAAATAACATTTTGGATCCGCTAAACAATGAGTTGAATCGAGATCATGTTGATAAACATCAAAAGGAATGTGACTAAAACCCATTAATAT